GTCATGTACTCCATATTATATGGTTAATGAAAATTTCTTCATTTACCCCCAGAGAGAGAGAGATTTCCAATAAAGTGGGGGATTTCCAATAAATAGAGGTAGAAATCTGACTGCTACATGTCCAAAATATTTCATCACTTAGCAATCCTCAGAAAACCATTTCTAAGATCAATCAAAGCAATTGATGTTGATGAAGACTCACCAAACGTTGCTATATAATACAAGCTCCTCCATTCCTATTTAGTCTCCCAAGTTATTCTCACTCACACTGTCACACATGCGCCACAATGCTTACATGTCTAACCATCCATTTTTAGTAACAATCTTGTAACATAACTATCCTTTCAATGATAACAATAATTGGATTAGTACTATGTACAGTTACTTCTTTCCTCAATATACCACGGAACCGCGGTCTATTTTTATTACATAGTTATATTATACATAACTGAATTATGTTGGTCAGATCAATACGTAATTGTTAATTAACTAACTAAACAAGTCGAAAAGGGTAAGATAGTCAAGGTATATCAGCAAATATGTTCAGAAAGATACAGCAATAATCACTATAAATAACATAATGAATATAAAAGAATGCATTACAAATAAAAAAAATAAATAAGGTGAAATTTTTACCTTCAGCCTTTGCAGGCTAGTCGTAGGAGGATCAGCAATCGCCTTAAAAATCCTAGCTGTAGCGTTCTCCCCTGATGCCAGCTTCTGTAGCACGGGCAACTTGTCCATCCATGGCTTCGCCTCTATGTCAAATTCTTACAACATTAACGTTGCCCTACTCAATGGAAATTCAATGGTTCACTTGCACTCCGACACCCCAAAGTTTCACCCTTTCTTAACTTTGATAGTCTGAAGTTCTATTCATTACAATTTGGTACCCCAAAGTACAAAAAAGTTCACGTTAATTTTGTTCAAGAACATTAACAAAGTAAAAAGTGAATGAGAGACAACATTTCTCACAAGATTTCAGTGCTTCTAGTTTCTGGAAAGTGATGAATGAAGTTAGGCTTCAGGTTATCAAATTATGGTCAATTTGAAAACTCTGGAGTATCAAATTGTAACAAAGAACTAACAAAAGTTCGAAACTTTGGTGTATTGAAGTGCAGATTAGCCAAATTCAACATCCTGAACAGAATGAAATCACTAAACCTTGGAAGAAAGTGCTCGGCGCCACGAAATCGAACCTGTCCAGCGACACAACAAAACCGAACATTACAACAAAACCCTAGATTTCAGGGGTTTGGGGGTGAGATTCACCTGAGGGCATCGAGGAGGATGATGACGAGGCGATCGACAGCGGGTCGGGTCCAGCACTTGCCATCGGGCTCGGGCTCGGGCTCGGGCTCGGGTTCGGGTTGAGAGGGGAAAGAGCAGGGGTTGCTGGAGTTGGGTTGAGAGAGATCGGAGCAGTGGCTGAAGGATGAGAGCTCGGTGCGAGTGAGGAGGAAACCGCGGGTGAAGAGGAAGATGGCGAGGGAGTGGAGGGCGAGGATCAAGAAGAAGGGCCAGATGAGGGCCCACTTCGTTGGCCTCCCAGTCGTTGCCGCCATTAAAAATTGGGCGAAGAGACCGAGAGAGGGGAGAGGATTTGTGAGATGCAAGACGCACAAAGTATCAGTGTTTAAGGGAAGACAAAACCCTAATTAGAGAAAGGATATGGATTTTAACAGCGCATTTTTGGGGTTTCTAATACCCCCCTAAACTTAGCGGGTGGGGGCGCTTTCCGATATTTTTGAAGGCTATGGGGTTCTTTTGATAATCTTCCAAAAGTTAAGGGGCATTTTCTGAGATTTAGCCTTCTTTTTTTAAGCAGTAGCACGTCTAGAAAAATCCTTATAAAAGTTATTTGGGTAGAATGGTTCATTTATTTGGTCAAGTCTCACTTATTTATATGAGCTCATAAGCTAGTTCTTTCTTTTAAAGCTGGGAAATCCTAAAAAAAAAATTGAAATGAGGTCCATAAGGGCCAGTTTGGTAATGCTTGAGCTTATAATAATTTGCTTACAAAAGTAGCTAATAGAAAGAACTTATATAACCTGCTAAAAATAGTTGTTCAGTAATCAAATACTCAAAATTGCACAAAGCAGTTATGATGTTTAGTAGAATTGTGCTTGGTGATCATTGTTATTACACACACACGATAAATAAACTAAAAAGAGTGGAAGCTGATTTTAAAAACTTCATCATGATGCCTCTAAAAGTACCCTCTTAAAATCAGAAGTAGCTTTAATAAGCATTGCAAAAAAAGTTTCTACAAGAATACCATTATTGACTACTACTTAAAGCAATGAGCAAAAGAGCCCTCAAAAAAGTAATATCAAACCGGCCCTAAGTCAGCTTATTGGTGAATTACCAAGTACTTACATATAAAAAAACTAGCATATAAAAACCGGTTTGACCGATAAAAATAAGCGCCCTCAGTCATTACTCATTTTCACTTTTCACGAAACATAATTTACACCGTCACATGACACAATTAAAACAATAAAGAAGTTTTTGGACAGAGAAATTTAAGGCTCCACCAATCCTCAAAATCAGTTCACCCCTCCCGTAGTTACGGTAGTAGACAAGGACGAACGAAACGTGCAGAGTTAAATGGATGAAAGCAATTAATAGCAGCGACGAGGGGGGCAAGCGGATGATTCCGCCAGTACCGTGCTGCCTCACAATGAGACCCAGATCCCCAACAGGCCGGTGGTCGGTCCGCGGTCAGAGAATGTCGTGCCACTTGCCTCGGCGCGTGTCACGTCACCCGTATGAACTTCGCTATCGAGTCTGGCAACGAATCTTAATACTTTTCGATAGCAGAGAGGACCCAATTTGTACCGGGAAAATGATTGGGGCACACCCTCTATCGTATCTCCAACCACACCCTTCTCTTGCTACAGTGCACCGGGAAGATCTCATGTGGGCCCCGGTGCACTGTAACAAGAGAGGGGTGTGGTTGGATGTGTGGTCGGAGGGTGTGCTAATAGTACCTCTCTTGCGCTTGGCAAAAGTACCTAGCAAAAGTATGCTCAAGCCTCAATAAAATAAATATGAGGCTTATAAAGCACTAGATAGAAATGCCAAGGTTCTACTCAAAAGAAAAGATCACGGGTGAAGATACATGCAGCACACTATAGTATCGGCTCCAAAGTTTTGGATTCAAAACCGGCATTGATCGATAATGTCACTTCATGTAATTGTCATGAGCAATTGAAACGTCCGTGTTAATTTTAGAGAACCTCTCGTAACTTTTAAAATACCAGAAAACTCCCATTAATTAAGTTAGGGACTTGCAGAAAAAAAAACCAACAACATTCACGCAAGGGGGTATTATTTCTGATAAAATCTCGGATAAACTCATGCATATGTTGATATTCTGGGGCTAATTTACAACAATAAAAACCTTGCTTACTCGCTGTCTCTGTCTTTTCTTGCGAGAGGAATTAAGACGACCGAGATATACTTATCGACAATACTTTATTGATGTAGGAGGCAATAATATCGCTGAAAGTTTCAGAGGTTGATCGATGAGCTAGAATCCAAACTTTGGAGTGACATCATCTGTGAGCCAAAAGCTCACGCACATGCACCAAAGCCAAAAGCCCAACTCGATTCCGCGAGCCCGTCACTCTCTCTTTTTGGCGTATAAATACTCCCCTCCTCGATCTACCTCTCCTCCTCTTGTGACTCACCTAAATCAACACTCCCATGGAGCTAGATCAGAAGAAGAAGAAGAGCAAATCAAAGGTGACCGTGCAGGAGGCGACGGCCGACCGAAAAGCATCCATTGGCGGCGGCAGGACGATGACGTGGCGGAGGATAGAGAGAAGGGTGAAGACACTCCGGAGGACTGGTCCCCGGCGGTGAGGGTATGGAGATGGACGCGCTGTTTGAGGAGACTGCGGGGTATATCGAGGAGCTTAGAGCACAGGTCATGGTGATGAGATCTTTGGCTGAACTCATTGACGCAGTGACAAAAGATAGGAGATTGATGAGGATGTATAATTAATTACCTGGTTGTCTTCTTACTTTTTTTTTTCTTTTGTATGCTGAGATGAAATCGAGCTATCTCCCAGTAAATTAAAGAGGAGTGCTGTGGTGCCTATTTTAATAATTGGTGATCGATCTTATGCATGATACTGTTTTGTTAACTTGTTTCCTGCGAATTACCTACTTTAGTACATATGGTACTTACCTTAATTGTACATATCTAGCTAGATTGTTTAATTTGTTAAATTCCTTTTAATGAAGCATTGGTCTTTTATGTGCATTTTTTTTTTACAATGTGCTTAGAAATGCGAGAGGGTTTATTTGTAAGTAATAGATCCATGATCAGGTTACAGAGATGTGATAAGTTATTTGACTAAAAACCACTATAAAAAATGATTAGACATTGTCATACTTGAATCGCATGACCCACATTATGTATAGAATATACTTTGATAAGCTCACGATCATGTGGAATTATTAATTAAGTGGAAGATCATAATCACCCTCGTCACGGGATTACCGTGCTTACTAGAGTTGTAGCACTTAATTTGTCCCGCACAATACTTTGGTTTCCCACAACGGGCTGACCTAACTAAGACTCTAATGTCATTTATTGTGTCAAGACTATTGGCGTGATTTAAACCCTAGGGCCCATCGAGGGTACAACACGTTGTTTGACTCAAGCTACTAATTACTGGCTATAATTATATTTGATTCACGTAACCTGCGAACACGTGGGGTGGGGTGTGGGGGCCACCCACGTTCTGTTGCCCACAAACTCCACGAACGCGTTTACGCGTGGGTGTGTTTTGCTCTCGTGGGGGCCACGAGCTGGGCAAAGCGTGTGAGTTGTGGTCCACCCGACTTTGTGCATATATAAACCCTATTCGGTTCCTAGGGTTGTGTACAAGTGCAAGGGGAAAAACGCAGAGGAATCCGGCTGCGTGCAAAAGTGGGAAAACGCATAGGTGCAGTGAAAAAATCAGAGATGTTTTTCAAGTGGTTTTTGAGAGAGAAATTGAGAGATTGTTTGAGGGTTTAATTTGTGAGATCTTGTGAGATTGTAAACCCTATTTGTATTCTCTTTCTCTCGATCTATTAGTATATCTCCCCTCTCCTTGCCCTGTGGACGTAGGCAATTTGCCGAACCACGTAAAATTCGTTTGTCTCGCTGTTTGTGTGATTTGTAATAGCTTATTTAGGTTCCCTCGACAGGTCAGTCTTAGAACTGATGAGAGAAAGAGTTGATATCCCACTTTGTTGAGATATTTTGCTTTTGGTTCTTGTTTCCTTGGTGAAACGAGAATTCCTATTGTGATCTTACTCTCTTGTTACGCCGAGGTGCTGTCGAAATTTCCGCTGCGCACAACATAACCCACGTTATAAACTCATTAATATATACTTCCTATGTGAGACTGTTAATTAAATAACAGATGATAACTTAAAAAAAAACGTGTCAAGATTGATCAGCCTCTCAAATTCGACTCTCAACTCAGTTTTCCCATTTCCTAACATGTTTTGATTGCTTTTACGTCACATTGCTCATGTGCGTTTCTGTGTTCAATGAACACAGCGCATCCGAGAATCTCATGATATCATTTACATGTGCATTTCTAGGTTCAATGGAAGTGACACCTCTTATTATGCTTTTAACCTAACTAATTGCACACACACAAAAAAAAGTTTTCTTTTTTTTTTCTTTCTTTTTGCTGTTACGCTAGCTACCTTGTCTGTTAGGCAACCATCCTGAATCAGTTTTAACTAAATCAGTTTTATTTTGAACTAAAAGACTTGATTTGGTGGGAGAGAAGGTGAGGGGATCGAGGAGAAAGATAAAAATTATATTTGTCTTTGGTAGTGAGATTTTGGAGGCAGAGGTAGAGTGAAGAGATGGGAGGGGAGGAACAGGACACCATAAGATAAACTAAAAAGTTAGAAAGAGAAGAATCCCTCCACATTAGGAGGATTCAAGACGAGAGAGAAAATAAACTATAAAAACGTGCATCTCCCCTCCCATTCCCTGCAACCAAACATGAAGGCCGATACATGCATTGCTTTAAAACAATTTTTTTTTTCAAGAGGAGTGCTTCGATGCACCAAAAATGAGTTTTTTTTACTAAAGTTTTTTATTTCATTTTATTTCAAGGATAAGTTTGCATTTTCCTTACTATCTTCTTCTTCACTGCTCCATACTCAATATTTCATAATTCCTCTGTCTAAAAATGCAGTTGATGGAGAAGATACAAATAAATTGCAAGATTTCCAAATTTCCGATTGCTAAATTGCCAATTTTGTGATTGTTGAATTTGAAAATACTATACTCGGATTAGAGTTAATAGGTTGTCTAAAGTAGTTTAAAAGAAAAGGCAAAAGAAAGAATTATAAAATGCGCAACATCAACGCGGATCGCGAATTCAGACGCGAGCAAAAAGGAGTTCGTCTGTGGCCGCTGCAACTGCCAGCGAAACTTCACATAACAGATTGTAGCGATGTAAACGAAAATGAGTGAGCGATTATTGTGGATAATATTTACAATATATGCCATCGGTACTCCAAAATCTAGTTATTGGAGTACCGAAGTTGTCGGCTTTTCTCAAAGTGGGGTCCTAATCAATCTTTAATTCCTAACCTTATTTAAGTACTTTTAGTTTCTCTATCATGACAATTGTGCCACATCGTCATATATATGAATACGAGGAAATATCCTCATATGACAAATATACATATTATTCTCTTGCACACGAGGAATAAAAACAACATGAGTACCATGGAAATATCCGAAGATTAAGTGGTTGTTTGTTTTTATGTATTTCGTATCTTTGCATTAAAATTTTTACCCACAGGTTACACATTGTGGATTTTTAGCAAATATGTTGTTTGTTTGTTATTCTTTATACATGGATTGTGGTTGTCACATAGAATAAATGGATCAAATATAATTCCCTAAAATTATGATGTTTTTATTCCTCGTGCAGGTCCTCTTTAATACATATCATTAATAAACAAATTTTCAGTTACGGGTTTTACAAAATTCATTACATACATTAAGATCAATCGACAAACCAAACATCCCCAAGATGACATTCAATCTAGGAAATACAACCGATTGAGGGCATAGCGAGCGTTGTTGAAGCCAACACGCTCACAACACCTCGTGCCTCGAGGGCCCACACGCGACGGCATGCTTCTTCATGCGGCGCCTCATGTTGGCAACCATTTGTTGTGGAGGTACCCACACGTGGGAGGGTATGTAAATTGCTATACGTACTATGTAGTTGTTACATGCATTTATAGTTGTTGGTGTTGGTTGTGGTATTGTCTATCTCCTTTTGCCGAGAAAATATCCGGAGCTAAATTTATTGATATTAACAAAATGTTACTAAGATTAGTATATTATAAAAAAAGTAGTCTATTAACCATATTGTTTGTGCAACTTCATTTACATAGATATACAAAACTTAGAACTAATTCCTTACATAATTGCATCCCAACTTGTAGTTTGCTCGATCCACTAGTACAAAAGTCATCGGTCTCAACGGGTGGTGGGAACCGTTGGGACAACTTTTAGCAGCCCAACGCCGTTGGGCCTAATATTTTCACAATCCAACTTGTAGTTTGCTCGATCCACTAGTACAAAAGTCATCGGTCTCAACGGGTGGTGGGAACCGTTGGGACAACTTTTAGCAGCCCAACGCCGTTGGGCCTAATATTTTCACAAGAAGAAATTTTCGATTTGAACTCGTTCCTACTTTTTTTTTAAACCGACCCTATCGCGTTTTATTTACAGGATCGACCCGCTTTGTGGCCACAAAACATATCGATTTTTTTTAATCTGATTCGTAAATAGTCAGGGTTGGCATCCCAGACTATTTTGCTAATATACAAGCTAAATTAGTCGGGTTACCACCCCGACTAATTTAGGACCATGTCTAATTAGTCGGGGTTGGGAACCCGACAAATTTGAAAGCCTTTTTCGCAATGGTCGGGGTTCCCAACCCCGACCATCTTCAAAGGATACAGATGGAGATTCTCTCGAGATCCAGTGAAGAAGACTAGGACGAGTAGAACCCCGACCATCTTCAAAGGATACAGATGGAGATTCTCTCGAGATCCAGTGAAGAAGACTAGGACGAGTACTCGAGACGCAAGGGTTCCCCGACCATCTTCAAAGGATACAGATGGAGATTCTCTCGAGATCCAGTGAAGAAGACTAGGACGAGTACTCGAGACGCAAGGGTTCCTCTCAAAGAGGTAATAATTTGATCATTGATTTTTGAGTTGTTTCTGTTTCTGATCATTCTCTTTGTTTTTATATGAAGGGGATTTTACGGTGAGATTTGATGGGAAGAATGCGGAGCTGAAGCAGTAGCTGCTGACGCCGAGATCGAAGCATTCCGCAACGGAGCAGCGGTGGAGGAGCAAAATTAATGACAGGTCCGTCATTTTGATGGATAATACTGGTTCTCCCTTTTTTATTCGATGAAGTGTTCGAAAGCCTTTTTCGAATTGGTCGGGGTTCCCAACTCCGACCAATTAGACAATATCCTAAATTATTCGGGGTTGACAACCCCGACTAATTTAGCTTGTACATTAGCAAAATAGTCGGGGTTGCCAACCCCGACTATTTAGGACCCCGACTATTTAGGAATAGGATTAAAAAAAACCAACCTGCTTTGTAGCCACGCTACTGACGTGATCACAAAATGGATCGATTTCTTTAAATAAAACGCGATAGAGTCGGTTAAAAAATGAGAATGAGTTAAAATCGAAAATTTCTTCATTTTCACAAAGCACGGAATCCCCCCTCCCCCTTTTAACAAAAAAACCCACCCCCCCAAGCCCCCCTGTACTCGCGTCCCCCCTTCAATAAAAAAACCCAAATCAGAGATCCCGTGAGCCGCGCCTTGGCGCCGCTCAGAGATCCCCGCCACAGCCGCTCTCTTCGGTTTCTCCCTCTCGTTCAAAAACCGCCACAAATCAGAGATCCCCGCCACCGACGCTCGGAGATCCCCACCGACGCCGCCGCTCTCTCCCCTCAAAACCCTATCCTTCGCCGCCCTGAACTGCAGCCACGCCGCTCTTTCCCCTCTTTTCCACCGCCCGGAGATCACCGCCGCTGCCGCTCCTATTTTCCGCCGTGATTTCTAAGTCCTTGGCGAAGCTTGATTCCTAAGCTACAGAAGATTGTCGGCGTCACAGAGGTCCTCAGGTCAGATTTTTACCCCTAAAAAGGTTTGATCATTTCTGAAGAACAATATTTTTGAATAATCTAAATTTATGTCTGAAAATTATAGTGAAATAAAAATTAATTTAGATGAGAGCAATTAAAAGGGTAAAACAATTATTATTATGATTGGAGGGCAATTTAAAAAGAGAACTTCCACCCTCCCTTTTATTCACTTCTAAACAAGTCAGACTCAAGAAAAACTATAGGATAGAGATTAATGAGTAAAGCAGATAAAAACAAAGGCATGTTTCTAGGATTTGAGATGACAAAAGCTAGTTACAGAAATGAACAACTGTAATGGCGCTTACTGTTTGTGTTAGTAGCATATTTCTGCTCTTTGACTCACGCACCATTCTCCTCCATGAATTGGTACTTTATTCTTCTTGTTTGGACTGAAATTTGAGCAGTGTCAGCTCTCTTAGCCTTGCATAACATCAGAGTTATGTTTTCCTGTTTTGCTTGCCAAAGGAAGCCTTAGTCAGTACAACAATCGTTCAGGTTCAAATTCTTTCGGAGAAGTTTGAGATACAAGCCACATAAATTTATACATGGTTCAGTCTTAGCATTTGGTAATTAAGCAGAAATTTAGGCCACCAATTTTCTTGCTATGATAGCTAATGCGAATAGAAGAGAATTTACAGTTAAAAAGGTGGATATTTCTTTAAGATTAGTATGCTTATCCACCTGTGTTTGTGTCATATATAGCAACTCTTCTACTATGTAAGTTTGGTATTTTTCTGTTATGCTTATCCACCTGTGTTTGTGTCATATATAGCAACTCTTCTACTATGTAAGTTTGGTATTTTTCTGCCTTGTACTAGTTTAATTAAGGGTGTCATATATAGCAACTCTTCTACTATGTAAGTTTGGTATTTTTCTGCCTTGTACTAGTTTAATTAAGGTTAGGGGTTAGGCTGAGAGCTGTCAACTTCTAGAGTTAAGAACCCCGATGGAGTTGATTGAGTGGCTGGGAGCTAGCAAGTCACCAGCCCCATTCAAGCAAACAGTGGGATTTTAATTGATCGAAATTCTCTATAAGCTTGTGTGCATTCATAATAACACCAAAAAAAATTTGATGCTCACATGAATTTTTCATTTATTGGTCTCTTCAAATTTGATTTATCCACTTTCTTATGACCCATTGATGAAGGTTCCGTTGAGCAAACATTGGAATGTTATGGTTGCATGATGAGGGTAATTTTGACTCTGCATATATTAACTGCAGATATTAACCCTATGACAAAAATATGCAGCTTCAACTGGCTATCATTTTTGGGTGTCCAAAAATAAAGGAAAAATAGAGACAATAGAGAGAGATGTGAAATTAAAGTTTGAGAGATTAGATATAATAATCACTCATTCATTATTGGTGGAGTCATGGCCCGATTGTGCTCATGGATAGTCATAGTGATTTGTCCAACCTCGTTAAATCCCTTGGACATATTTAGCAGACCATTTATCACATTCTTCCATACTGAACCAAAATGTTTGGGGGGGGGAGTTACGAGCAACTCCTATTTACTAACCTATTATCACAAAGGAAAACGGTGAAAATCTTCTTTACACATTCCCTCTCAACTACGTGATTTATAGCATCTCAATGCATGCACTCATGACCTTATGTTCATAAGGAATAAAGACAACTTATTGGGCAAGAAAGAAAATATCTGACTCAATGATGCGATACTTACACACATAGAACAAAACAAGAGCTTATGATGATTGGCCCATACAGGAGTATGTCACACTTTGACACGCTTCTTCTTTTGGGCTGCTACATGCATTTCGCACGTGCGCGTTGGACTCTTGTGCCCGTGAGGGTGCAAGGGAGCGGGACGACACGTGTGGAATTGAGACCGTGGGGGACAGATGAACAGAACGCATGGTGGGGTCGTTTTCTCTCATTTGTTTTTCACGTTTAGGGAAGATCATGGGAGGCGCATTGAAACATTTCAATTATTCTGGTCAATTCACTGTGCTCAAGTAATATTATGCTATTAATTTTTATAAAATCAAATGATTCTTTTATCCCTTGATACATAAATAAAAGACACGCTAAATTGATTGAAAATTCTTATTTCTAAAATGTCAATATGGTACATCATATAAAAAATTACCAATTTTAATTTTGGAAATTTAGGCTTCGTCTGGATACTATGATATTTTCCTTGTGTTTTTACAAAAAAATACTATGGTATTGTGTTTTCTCTTTAAAGTGTTTTTAAAACACCATGTTGAGTGTTTTTGGTCAATACTAGTTTGACCTGTTACAATAATAGTATTAAACATATTATTAATATATTATATATTAATTATAATAATTTTATAATAATTAGTCTACATTATTATAGTATTATAAATATTAAATATCATACAATATAATATTGCATAATGTACTATAATATTATATTGTACTTTAATGTGTTATATTATATTATAATTATTACATATTATTTTCAAATAATTATATACTTAATTATAGCAATTTGTTATTGTTATATGTTATATAACATTTTTAAAATAATATTATTTTATTATTTATATAATATTATACTATTATTAATATAATGTAATATTATTAATAATGTTAATATTAGGTTATTACAAGTATATCATTAATAATTATAATTTATTACAATTTATTTATTAAAAAGTTAGTAATAGTACAGTGATCATAATATCGTATAGTATTCTATTATATCATTATTATATTATTAATCATTATCAATAACTTTTTTATTATTTTTATTAGTTTATTTATATATTATTATTTATTATTACGTAATATATTATCAACATATTAAATGCTAGTATTTAATATGTTATTATATTATTGTATAAGATATTTTAATTATTTTATTTTTATAGTATTTAATAAATAATACTAATATATTAGATATAATATAATATAATATAAGAAGGATGTCAATAATAACTATATATTAAATGTTAGATATAATATTAACACCTCAAACTCAAAACAAAAACACCAAACTTAAAACACCTAAAAGGTGTTTTGAAAGAAATGTTGTGTTTTTAGTGTTTTTAGTTTGAGGATGATTTCGCTCAAAAAACATCATGATTTTTAAATGTATGGTATTTTATTTTTGATAAAAACACTATGAAAATAAGGAAAAATCATGGTATCCAAAGGAAACCTAAAGAGGCGCTTCGGTGGTGGTGGTTGTTGTCGTTTTGATCAAAAAGCTAAACAGACTTTTTGAGCACCCATGTGTTTGTTTTGGGCGCAAGAATGGCCTAGCCAAAAATAAATGGATTTGTAAAAATACCAAAAAGATGTTTTAAGGTTAGGGTTGCCGTTTCAGATCGTCTTCTCCACATCATCAGAAGTCTTCACGGCCTCTGGTAGTCGTCACCAACCGCATCCGGTAATCGTGCCGACATCTTCCGGTAGTCGTGGCCACCGCCTCTGGTGAGCCTCTTCTTTCACTCAATCTTCTCATGTTTTTCTCTTCCCTTCATCACCTCCTCCACACGAGTTCATTGTTAAGATTCCCCTAATTTGTATGTGCTTGCAGTTGGATTTGATCCCCCCCTCCAACAAAACCAAAACACAATTTGTAAAAATTATTTGGGTAGTATAGTAATTTGTTTGGTCAAATCTAACTTATTGTATATGTTAATTTATTTTTTTCAAAGTCCTCATAGTTCCATGTTATCTTAGCAATCGGCCTATAGTTCAACTATGCATTATGGGCTACATGTAATGAAACATAGTTAATTGTGTCTTGTGTTTTAGTATTTAGCATTTCTTATTTATTTTGTTTGTTTAACCGTGTGACTTCAGTTTGCGAAAATGACGAGTAGATTATGGAGGATGTATGCAGAAAGAGAGTTTTACAAGTGGGAGAAGACTGTGCTATGGGATATGATCGAACCCTATAGGCGTCCTAAGTCATTTACGCCTCTCGTATCTGTTTATGTTGCTGCATTTTATAGCGGAGTTGTTGGATCTGCCATCACTGAGCAACTCTACAAGGTATTCAACGTAACGTTTGTCGTGTTGTTTTGAACATATTGTTAATTGTTAGTCGTTCATTGAAATGGTGCAAGAGTGTCATGGCTTTTTTTTCTTCAAACTAGACATTTCCATCTCGGGTTTAAACTAATTACAAGCAAGACCATAAGAATGTATATGTCGAGTTACACTGTATCATCAGATTTCAATTGACTAATATATACCCAAGTTCATGTCCAAATAAAGTCAAAAATCCATGGGATAAACTTAGGGGGTGTTTGTTTCAAATCCTATAATTTTAGGATATGGATTTCATCATGAGATTTAAAACCCATAGGTTTTTTAACATGGGTTGGGATTTCTAAAATATTGTTTGTTTCATCAATATTTTAGGATATGTAATACTATAATTTATAATATTTTATTTGTTTCAAACTCAAATTGTAGCATTATAAATTTTAGAATTTGAAATCTATAGTGGTAGCAAATAAAATTTAGGATTAACAAAATAATGATTGGTGAATATAAGAACCTTTGGTGAGCTTACCTCCCACAAAAAAACAAATACAATTATATTCAATTGGGGTAATCATAACTATTCAAATTTATACTCCAACAGTTATAAACAGTCATAAACTAACTCGAGACAATGTAAATAAAAAATGTAAAAATAAATGATAATATAGAGGCTCAGAAAAGGGTCATTTTTTTCAACACCTATATAATGAAATTGCATTGTAGATTGCATTCAAATAACGGACTGCCTCATCTAAAAATTACAAAAGCAATCTAGACTGTATTTTCATTAATGAACGCCTCCTGTAAACAATGAAATCCTATTGTAGTTGGCATTATCAATATGTGACCAATCATCATAACTAAATCCGAAAAACTAAAAAACCCCACTTTTTCATCCTAGAATTTCCAATCAAAGATCACTAGCTAAAAAAAAAAACACCCCTAAATGAATTTTGCAACATTTTAATAGCTTGTAACAAACCTGCAAGCAGATCAGACCAACAGCAAACCCACAAAGCTCAAAAACAAGCTCAAACTCAAATAACTAAGGCTCAGACAAGTAACCAAGCTCAAACTCACAAACCCACAAGCTAAAACCTGCCAGAAACCTGCAAATCCATAAAAAACAAGCAACCAAGCTCAATGACAAACTGAAACTGAAACAACCAGCATAGTAATAGGCTGCCACAAACCCACAAGCTCGCAAGCCATCAAAAACAAGTTCAAACTCAAATAACTAAGGCTCCAAACAAGCAACCAAGCTCAAACTTACAATTCACAAACCCACAAGCTCAAATGCACGCGGCTTCATTCTAACATAAGCCTTACAACTCTCATTATAGTCATTGAACACACGACTTATGTGCCTAGCTCTAGAATCTATCTTTTTTTTTTTCCACCTTTGGGTGATAAGTGATTGATTTCCTTCTACTATGTATCCTTATTAAACAAGCAAACACACAAATCATGCAGAGATAGTAGCATTAGAAGCCATCCTCATGAACATCTCTTCATCAATGTCGTCCATCTACATTGTTTCAAAAAGAAATTTCATTTAAAAATATGATACATTGTCTTGTATTCACTAAGACAAATATTAGATGATAATACAAAAATAAGAATCTAATTGTTACTTAATGAATCTTTTTATAGAACTGAGTTTGGTCCACAAAGATCAACTAAGTATTTAACTCAAAAATTTAAGGAGTTAAGTAATCAACAATGTTCAAGTGCTCGGATGCAGATAATTGTTTATAGAACTGAAGGGATGAGCTAATGAAACTGCAAATTGAAGTCCTAAAATAGTATACGAAATTCAAACTAATCTTACAAGTGCGCAGGTAATGAACATAAACTCAAAATCGATTTCACAGACTAATCAATGAAACGAGAATTCAAACTAATCTTACAAGTGCGCAGATAAGAATATCCCAGTTATTTTCATGCAATGGAACGAGAACAATTTCGTCCCCAAATCCAAATCAATTTCACAGACTAATAATTGTGCAGAACCAATTTCACCAAACCCAACTTAATTTCATATATAACCCCCAAATCAATTTCACAAAATCCCCCAAATCATTTTCACCAAACCTCAAAATTACAAAGAAACCCTAATTTACAAAGAAAGGGAACGAGATTTACCTATTGATGAGGAGGCGTAGTTCGGTCAGAGAGAAGTTTGGTCGGAAAGAAGTTCGGTTGAAACAACAGAAACCCCAAATCAATTTACCCCAAAACATTAGGGAGAGTTAAGGAGAGGCAGAGCGGTGGAGTTGGGAGTTGGGGACGCTGAGGAGGAGGCGGAGCACGGTGAGGTTGAGGGCGGAAAGGAGGGAGGGGGTGGCGTCGCAGAGGAGGAGAGGAGAGAACGAGATCTAGGGTTTTCGCGCTGAAAATGAGACGACAGGTAAAAGAGGAGGGAGACGAAAGCGGTGACCCTAAGAAACTGATTCATGATATCAGTGTAAAGCTTGATGAGCTGGACATGGGTTGGGAGAGATCTAGCTTAAATCCTCTCTCAAAGAGGGGATTTCACAAATGCTATAATATATTAGTTTTTTATTATTTGGGTATTCAATATCCTAAAATTTATTTTGAATCAAACAAAGGTTATGAAATCCATAAACTCAAAAAAATCCACTTATTCATCCTAGAATTTGTAATCTACCCTATATCCCAAAAAAAAAGTTGAAACAAACACCCCCTTAATGTATGCTTGACCACACATTGATTGCATCTATTTTGTTATAGTCGCTCAGTAATTAGGCTATTGACCCTTTCATAAAGCATGAGTATGATGTCAACGTTTTTGTAAACGCCTCCTTGTTTTGGGTAATCATTCAATGAGAGCTCATGGCTCTAGAATGCAGTTATCTTGAATTTCAAAATGGCAGAACGGAAGTATGGGTATGAATGAGAGCTCATGGCTCTAGAATGCAGTTATCTTGAATTTCAAAATGGCAGAACGGAAGTATGGGTATGAATTGTAAATCTATATAAAATTTCCATAGAGTATGGAGAATTTTTTTCCCCTCCCCAGATTGGCTATGATTTCTTCCATGCTTAGGATCGCACATTAAGATTGTGGCCTATCAATTGTGTATCCTGTTGTTGATGCGTAACTTCTGATAGGATTTAGTTTATTGAGGTAAGGGAGTGAGACTGTCTCTAGGTAGTGTGCCAAGAACAACTATTGTATGATATTTTTGCCCAAGCAATTAAAATTTTTGGAAAGAGACTTTTCAACAATCAATATTCGGTAGAGATTTGGAATCAGTGATGTGATCGATCGTGCATCAAGTGATCGTTTTTAGGGACATGATATAACTTATCCGAAAAGCTAGCTGATGTATAGAGATTTCAAATGTCTAATAAACTCACATGACTCCTTAGTAAGTCAACGCAGGATTAAATGAACCCTAGTATACCACCACCCTTCTGTAGTCTTGGTGTCTACGTGAACTGGCGTTGCACTAGTTCAGTACCGGTCAAACTCTACAGTCGCCAAGGTTTTAAATGTCGGATGTCGGGTTCATGTCGGACGGCTGAAATTCATGTCAGATAGCAAAAATCGGGGATATATCGGGGGACATGGACTAAATATCGGATTATCATATCGAGTGGTGCGCATATGTATAATGTCATGTCCTAAATGTAATCTAAGCCTTCCTAAATTCAATATAAGCATACTTCATAAATTCTAGAGGCGGTGCTGGCGATGGGTGGATTCCAACGTCGCAGGGAGGCAGTACCGACGACGGGACGTCGCAAGGAGGCAGTGCCACCTTGCCGGGCTCTTCTTCTTCGTTTGCTCGGGGTCCTTCGAATGAGTCATCGACCACCCTCTTTCATTTATCCCGACGACGGGATACCCTGTCGCTCTCGGGTTCGGTTGGGGTTCGGATTTCGAGGCGCAACGAGAGATGGACGACGTGGGTTCGAGATGGAGGTAGGGGAAGGGCGTCGTCATTCACGAAAGGAGTGATCAATTTTCAAGTCCGCTGTAGCCCTAATTTTTCTCTTTTCTTTCTATCGGGTTCATAAGAAACCCTTAAACATGAGAACGGGTCACATGGGTTTGAGTTTTTTATTACTAAACCCAAACCCGATAATAAAAAACAGATCTAAAAAAAAGGTCATATCGGCCGATTTTTCAAGGCTGAAAAATCGACCGATATGCCCGATATGACCCCGATATTTCCGATTTGATCCTGAAAACCGACATACGAGTTAAAAACGCCCATGTCGTGTCGCTCAAGCCCTCAAACCGACATCGCCCGACACATGTCGGACATGTCGGACATGTCGGCCGACATTTAAAACCTTAACAGTCGCCCTGTCATCCTTTTGGCTTTGTACTAGACAAGTCCAAGAGGAACACTGGAATGCCAGCGTCACCACCCCCTGCTTGCTTGCATCTGGGAAGACGAGGGTGACTATGATACTATTTGTTAGAGACCCAATAGAATTCACCTCTAAAAGCGAGCTGGCTGAGGGAGAGAACACAAAATCTTCTATTTGTTAGAGACCCAATAGAATTCACCTCTAAAAGCGAGCTGGCTGAGGGAGAGAACACAAAATCTTTAATACACCCACTTTGACTCCCGAAACTTCTCTAAAAGCGAGCTGGCTGAGGGAGAGAACACAAAATCTTTAATACACCCACTTTGACTCCCGAAACTTAATATGAGACTATAATTGGGCCCGACACTAGAATGCCATTAGAGGGGGAGGCACCATGGGGGGAATAGTTTTCAAGCAAAGAGCAACCTATATGGATATTGGCAGATGCATGAATTAGATCCACATTACAAACAAAGGAGTGCTGCAAGACTGAAATAGACAAAACCAATATTTGAAAACAAACATTATGTTGTAAAAGTTTTCAACAGACATTGAGCAATGAATCAGTCAGCAATCTATTTGTCATCTGGAATTGTCTGATTCGATCTCAATATGCGGTCTCTTCGTTCTTCCATGTCATGAACATTGAATTACAGTTATCATATTTGCTCACCATTTAGCATGGTTAAAAGGTCTAAACTCTCTCCCCTTTTGTGAATCTAACAGGAAAAGTACTGGGAAGAGCATCCAGGAGAATTGGTACCCATTATGCCCCCGAAGTTCTATTGGGGTCCTTGGAGAGTGATGAATGGAGAAGTCCCCAGATACAATGTTCCAAATGCCGCAAACCCTCAAGGCTAATCCTTGGAGAGTGATGAATGGAGAAGTCCCCAGATACAATGTTCCAAATGCCGCAAACCCTCAAGGCTAAGGGTGTGTTTGGCGAACTCTTAAAACTAGCTAGGACTGAAGCGGCCTGGTTCTTCTTATGCTGTTCCTATCAAATCATGTATATTGTGGTTCTTGCTTCTCTCAAGTCTAGGATGCAATATGATAAAACGAAAAAAGAAAGAAAGAAATGGTTGTATGCAATTCTTATGGTTTACAAATAACTTGGCTTTCTTTAAGCTTGATCTTATTGATGATTGATTAAAGAGTGTCTTCAATCTTACAATAAATGAACTTGCTGCCTTATGGTTTACTAAATCTTATGATAAATTATTTTACTGTCTTGATGCTATAAAGTGAATATAGCATGTTTGACATGTAAATTTGAAGCTAATTTCTGCAAGCAACATTTTGCACAAGCGACATTTGTTCTATTTACTATTGCAGAATACCAAGCAGCCTCTATCGCCAGTTTACATCATGAACTAAATATACAAGGATGATACTATTTTGCATCAAATTGTGCACTGTTTGCGGGAGCTAATCCCCTTTTTTCTCTTTTTTTTCTTTTCTTTTAAATTTTATTTTTATATCAGGTCTATACGATATAGCTAGTCCCTTGACCTCTATACTATGTCATGTCATTTAAATGTCACGAATGTACAATTGAAAAATTAGAAATTACATTTGTGTGCTGGAATCTACGAATTATAATAGAAATCTACCTACATAACATTATGATTAAGATCCTTCCATGTGATTATCTGCTTACTTAGGCCAATTTACTTGCAATAACTAAGCATACGGCAAGAGAAAGAAGTCGCTCAAGTGGATCTCTCTAGTGAGATTTCCTTTCATTTCTATATCAACAAGTGGAATCCAAAATGCTAAATCACTAGTGTTTAGGCAACGTGCATCCATGTACAAGAATCTCTTATAGTAGTTTATTATCAAACCAAGATTTTTCTATGAATTTTTTTGGAAAGCATTTGATTACAGGATAGAAAGATACATTGGTATTTGAAATTATGGCTATTTAGTAAAATTAACACGATATTATTCGTTTCCTAGGCAATGAAATTATGGTATTTGCATCATCATCATATATAGAAGAGAGAGATGCTATGATTCTTGGATTCAGTTGTTTCCATGGACCTAATTCTTTCAGATAATGTAGTTGAAGCTAGAGGATATTTAAAACCATGAAAAGTTTAACTTATGGGATATTTTAGTGCTAATCTCTTTGCCTTAATCTAACACTGAATGGATCAGCGCACCGAGCAACATAAATTAGTAATTTATTTTCACAGGAAATACTGAGTGTAATGGTTTGACTTCTACCCTTGCTTATAGAAGGGAGAAAAAGGGGGTTAGTGCAATAACATCCACAAATCTGGGGCAAGCAATATAAACATACACATCAAAGTTTAAAGCAATTAATCAATAAATTTCTTTTTATTTTATAGCCCACCCGTACAATCGAATCCTATGACCGTAGGAGTCATATTAGGACCTTCTAACTGTATAGATCACCCGCGGTGCGTGAATTACGACATTTACTTGAATCACACAAATAAAACAAAAGAAGTATTAAAAAAAAAGAAAAAGGAAAAAAAATTCCATCCATGGATGTAAGCAAAATCCTAAATGAACCCGGTTCGGATCACCAATGATTGTGGGTTAGCTACAGATAGCCCAGTTGCAAATAGGCCTTCCGTATTTTTTATTTGCGAGAATAGCCTAAGTGATTTTTTTTACGACGAAAGAGGTAAAAAAAAAATATATTGAGGAGGCAAGTAGACCTACTATAGTTTTATTGGTAAGAATAGATCGGCAATTGCTAATATTTTTGTAACAATTGAAAGAGTGAAAATTTTATTTAGCCGTACGGGGTCTACATTAGCACAAACAGAAGTACAGGGGGTGTATCTGCAATAGCGATAGTACACGAGTCTATTTGCAATTAACCCAATAATCATAGATTCCTTACAAGTTACAAGCAGCACCGTACATGGATCTCACCATCAAGGCAGCTTCACGAACTTATCATTATCACCCAAAAAATAATAATTAACTAATCTCTCTCACCGTCTCTCTAAAATTATAAATCTCAATTACACTATTATATTATTCAACAATTTACTAACTAAAATTTAATCAAAATAAGAAAGAAATTAATAATAATTTGGTGGGGGAAGAAGAGGAGAGAGTAGAAGAGCTCGAAGGCAAAGTGCCAACAAACCCAACCGCTCCCCCCCCACCCTTCTCTCTCTCACATCTTTCTCTCTCCTCTTTTACATTTTTTTTTTGGTGAATAGACTGCGACTTTTAACCCTCCCTCCAAATTGCTGTTGCTGTTGTTGTTGCTTCAGATCCCCTGGTGAATAGACTGCGACTTTTAACCCTCCCTCCAAATTGCTGTTGCTGTTGTTGTTGCTTCAGATCCCCTCTTTCTTTGATTTAAATTCCCACCAATTCCTCCAAATTGCTGTTGCTGTTGTTGTTGCTTCAGATCCCCTCTTTCTTTGATTTAAATTCCCACCAATTCCCCCCCGTGTTCTTCAAGTTTCAATCACATCGCCAACGGACGAAAGGCCGCGGATCTCATTTCCTTTGAGGTACACCAATCTCCTCTCTTTCTTCTCCTTGAAAATTATTGGGCGTAATCTTGTTGTTGATCGGGTTTTGGTGGTTGATTCGGTTCTTGGATATTCAGAGGAAATGGTGGTCGCCGGCCCTCTGACCCCTGGCCAGGTGAGATGATTTTCTCCCAAGTTTTGTTTTTTACTGCTGAAGATTTGATTTTGTGGAATGGGTTTTTCTTGAGTTTTGTTGCGGACGTCTTTGTTTTCTGTGACTTCGTTTCTACTGCTTGAGTAGTGATTGCATCTTGTTTTGCTGGTATCGATGAGATTCTTGTGGGGAAAGCTTATTTTAGCTTTGCATCTCCTGAAACCTCAAGATTTTGCTGTGCTACATGAATTGCTAGTCCTAGATTTTTCTTACATTGTAGACTCTAGCAGGGTTTATGTCGATTGAATTGTGTCATATGTGGAAGATCTTGTGCTTTTATCGAATGAGACAATGAGTAGTACTTCATTGTATGCAAACTAGCCATAAAAGGGTCAATTTCCTCATGGAATACAGCATTAGTTCATAGAGGATTATGGTAGTAGATAACTGATTATAGAAGTTTTAGATCTCTCTTTGAGAAGTGCTCTGTAACAAAATACACCATGGAGGGGAAAATGCTCGACGTTGTGTTGTCCAATACACAACTTAATGTGATAGGGAGTGAAGATGATCTGGCAACTTATTAGCGGAATGAGAGGAAGGGATTAGGAAGCTTTGCTATGTGATGACTGTGACAACAACAGGAACCTGATCGACTAACTAATTGATTGAACCACATCAATTTAACTCTTAATCAGTATTCAATCAGACATTGGCCAAATCTTTCTTCGATTAGGAGTCAAATACTGGAAGTTTCCCAAAAAGAAAATCTCTTTTTGGCCATATTTCTCATGATCAAATCCTTTTACGTAGGCCAAGACTGCATCACTAAGTGAAATCTGGTTAGGTTCGGTGAACTTATTGTTATATGGTTTGATACCTTGAAGTTTGATATTTTTAAGAGTTACTTTGTTGGACCTGTAAATCCCCCACTTTCCCTATCTAAAAAATGTTACGGTGATGTCTAAGGAAAATAAAAGAACTAAAAACAAGCAAGTTGATTGCTAAGTCTAGACTCAGCCTTGAAGAAACCAAAGTAACACGTGCTAGATAACTTCTTCATTTAAAGTGGTTGGAAATTCTAGCTGTGACATGGTATTTGTACTTCCATCAGAAGCTTGGATAACAGGGATGATTTGCATTAGCTGTCTGACAACTCTCATAGCGTAGGGCGTTGCATCTTTGTTGTTGTTTTATCTGTATCAAATGGATTCTAGTAAAGAAAAAAAATACAGTGTGTAGGTTTGTTGTGTTGTTTTGTTGAATCTCTGTGTAATAGATACTGATAGAGTAGTTGCAGCTTTGCAATTGTTGTATCTGAAGGACATGAAAAATAGTGGAGCGACGTGGGCAGCGAAAAAGCTTCCTATGTTGATGATAAAAGATACGGAACAGATGAGCAAGGAAATACAACTTACTCTTTGAACACCTAATATTTGCTCCTATTATTAGGTATTAGAGATGAGTTCAAGAGAATGAAAGGGCTAAATTGAAGAGCACACATGTTGCAATCTGAGTCATTACTACATTACATAAACTGTAGTAAGCCTAGAAGCCAAAAATAAAATATTTCTGGGAATATGAAATGCAAAAGATGCCTGACAGCATAAAGTGCTATGACATGACATTACTTACGAAGGCCTTTGCCCCATGAAATTTAACACCGAGGCTCAGCAGAGAGTTTGAATACGTGCTGATCGAGGCACATAGGGCTGAATTCAATGTAACAAATGTCAAAACTTTGTTATTCTCAGAGATGACTGCATTCATGCTGAAGTTCATATGTATACTGCCTCTGAACCTGACACAGACACTTAACCAGGATTAAGTAAAACATTCAAAATATCCAGCCTGCAAGTTAGACCCAGGATGTCCACAAGGGTATTTAGGCAGATATTTACCTATTCTTTTTCCCACAGTGCGAACACCTTTCAGAGATTGAAAGCACACATTTTCTTCCAGAAGGTATTTGTCATGTCACCTAAGAAATAAATTTCAAGCTCTGCCACCTGATCGGTAACCTGTTTTTCTTTTTGCCACCTGAACCTATATTACTCTTGTGACTTAAATGGATTTCCCTTCTTTACACTCAAGCATTTGACAAATTCAGCTGTGAAGTTTTTCCTGATGACAGATACCTCACTGATCCTTTTACTTCTGTTGCAGGTGTCATTTTTGCTGGGTTTCATTCCTGTATTTACTGCATGGATATATTCAGAGATATTGGAGTATAGAAAACCTTCCGCTCCTGCAAAAGTGTAAGATCCTCTGCACAAGTTAATAGCATAGGTAGCACTAATATGAACTTTACATCTTTTAATGTAGAGTTCATTTAGTTAGGTACTGGGACTACTTTGTTTGCCATGTTCAGCGATTACATTTGTTTCAGAATTGATTCTCAACCTGAGAAAACTTCTTAAAGTTGGGTCAAATTCTTGGAGAAGGAAAATATGCCTATAGAGATGTGGTGGCCACAAACCCTGATTGGCTTGAGTAACTCTTATGATTGGAATAGGCTGATTTTGCTTGATCGCCTGAAAGTAACATGGTCTTGTGCTCTAGCTAAGAGTATAATCTTTTTGAAGTACATAACAAGGACTAGGCCTAATTTTCTATTATAGTTGCTTCTCATGTACACATTGTATTGGTGATGGTAACAGAAATAGTTTGTTTGCTTCTAAGAGTTGTCCCCTTAACCTATACATGATATATGAATGTTCTGTCTGGTTTCATTTTTTATATTATACGTCATATATTTTCAGACTTTCCGTCTAACATATATATTGCACACAAAAATAATTCATGGAGCATATAATGATTTAACATTGTGCCTCTGACATATGCCTTTCCGGTTTGCAGACATTCAGATACCAATTTGGTTGAATTGGGAAATGGAACGATCAAGGAAGATGATAAGGCTGTATTACTTGAAGGAGGTCTATCAAAATCATCATCTGCAAAATTTATGAGTGCTTCGGTCCGAACAACCTTAATCAGGTTGCTGAAAGATAACTTTAAGAATTTCAATCATCGTTGTTATATAGGACTAAGTAAAATGCTTAAGTCTGGCTTTTTCCGTTTTCCTTTTTGTGCAGGTTTATAACGATGGATGATTCTTTTTTGCTTGAAAATCGAGCAATTTTAAGAGCCATGTAATGTTCTTGGCAGTTTCTATTATTAAAGAAATTACCATTGTTTTACCTTGGTGGATTAATTCTTGGATGTTATGCAGGTCGGAATTTGGGGCAACTCTTATTTACTTCTACCTGTGTGATAGGACAAACTTGTTTGCAGAATCTAAGAAGGTGTTCAATTTGACAAAACTTAACAACATATATTATTGGTTTGAATAATTTAATTGCTGATATAATTTCATTGCACTAATGAAATTACTTGTAATTATGTCAAATGAGCCATTGAATTTTAAATTTTTTCATTGAAATTTAAAAATTTTCATTCTTCACAATGTCAATGAAATGTTCGTTCATTATTGTTGATTTTGTCTGGTTACTTTTAAGGTACACCTAAAGTCTGCTTGATGGCATTTTTATTATGCTGCTTAACTTCTAAAGTTATTGTGAAACATATGTGTGATATTTTAGTTTGTGTAATATCCAAGGTCAAGTCTTTATAGTTCTATATAATATTGATTAAAGTATAAATTTAGTTAACAACCTTTTTCACTCGTGTTATATGGTGGAACTGGTTTTCCCAATTTCTTGGCCGATGATTCTTTTACTATCTAAATTATCATTTTTTATATCACAGTAAATGATTAAAGATCATGGTTTTTAAAAAAATATTGTCTCTTTGGAATGTCAGCATTATAAATCATTGACCTATTGCTATTGGTGATTTATCGGAGATTTACCTTAAAGTAGAATGGTAGCATTATAAATCTTTGAATACCAGCTATTCATTGTCTAAGCTAGAGCTTTCACAACAAATAAAAGTTAACATATTTGTAATATGTATGTTCTCTTTCTTGCTCAAGTGTCAACATGTTCATGCTTTTAGCTAATAATCAGTAATAATGTCATCCAGTATCTCTTGCACATTTATTGGCACTTATTATCTTTTTCCTTGTACATTTTCTTCTCCTTGGCAGAGTTACAGTCGAGACCTTTTTCTCTTTCTCTATGCTCTTCTTATCATAGCTTCAGCCCTGACTTCTCTGAAGAAGCACCATGACAAGTCTGCATTCTCAGGGAAAGCAATACTTTATTTGAATCGACACCAGACAGAGGAATGGAAAGGATGGATGCAGGTGGGTTTAACTTGGCCTATCAATTGCCTTTTGTTTTGTGATGTTATATTAATATTTCATATTCAGTTCAGGAAACTATTACATACAACATGTTTGTCATATTTACATAAAAGCAAACTAGAGACTATGTTCAGTTCTTATTACTTCATCATATCTAGTGGATGCTTATAAAATCTTATTGATAAATCAGTTGCCACAATTTCGAGTAGATGCTGAACTGGTGGGATCTAGCTACTTTATTATGTTTGGTAAAAATTAGCATGGTGGGCTGAGATTCCTGGAGATGTTTGCAATATCAAATGTTTTTAGTTTATTGTTACTGTAAAATGATTGACATTGGGAAGAGTAAGGAGGTAGCTCAGCGGGAGAAGAGTATGCAACAAGAAAGTGGGATACCAGAGGATTTGTGTAAGTAAAGAATGGCTAATACCTGTTAGAATATGAAATTATAACCCTCAAACCTCATCATAATTCCAGAAATATTGGTACAGCTGAAGGTCTTTCACATGGTATCATAAAAACCCAGGTTCAAATCATATAAGACACATTTAAAAATGAATTTTAAATAAAAGGTGTTTCTCTTTCCTGCTCAAGTGTCAACCTGTCTGCGCTCTTAGTCAACATAGACCAATTTGGAATGTGCTACTGCTATTTGAAAAGGTCACTCAACATGCAGTGGCATGTTAGAAAATAATCTTATAACCCTCAAGTACCATTGTCATAATTCCAGAGCTTTGTGCAATGGAAGGGACTCTGCGATACTGTGAGTGTAGTTCATTTACTTAGATATATCTTAAATCAGAGGTTTGTAATATGACACTGGAAGTTAAATTGGTGGGTAGAATTTGTATGATTGTTTATGCTAATAGTTTATGCTAATAGACATGTCTAAATGGCAGTGCTTGGTTACTTCATGAAGGACCTGAAGGAAATTGCCATTTGATGCTAGGCAAATTGTCAACATATGTTGAAGTAAACTGAAAACTATTGGTAGAAGTGCTTTGTGACCGACCTTCGAGTACTAGCAAATAAGCAATAGTAGTAGACTAGTAGTAGTTACACTACTGTTATAGCCGCACCATTAGTCATTTTAGTTGTAGATGATTACTTTATTATCTTTCAACGAACAAACAGTCCTTTCTTTTGAAGAAAGAATGGAAGTCAAGACGACTTTCAACCTGCAGGTTACACGGCACCTTAATATACTTTAGCATTTTGTTCAGACTTCTATAATACTGGTAGTATTTGATCCTGGCTTTATGTATTGAAATCTTTTTTTACTCCTTTGCAAGTCTTTCCTGAGAATTTTTTCTTGTTGCCTTTCCAGGTCTTATTTTTAATGTACCACTACTTTGCTGCCTTTGAGATTTATAATGCAATCCGTGTGTTCATTGCTGCTTATGTCTGGATGACTGGATTTGGGAATTTCTCTTACTATTACATACGAAAGGATTTTAGCCTTGCTCGGTTTGCTCAGGTGCCATATTATTATTATTTGTTAAATACAATAATTAAGCAGCTATCTTATGTTTCTTACTGATCTTGGAGGACAAAATTGTTCATTTTTAAAATGCAGATGATGTGGCGGCTAAATTTCTTTGTAGCCTTCTGCTGTATTATTCTGAACAATGACTACATGTTGTATTATATCTGTCCTATGCACACACTCTTTACACTTATGGTATATGGAGCACTAGGCATCTTTAACAAATATAATGAGATTGGAGCAGTGATGGCCATTAAGATGGCCGCTTGCTTTTTGGTGGTGATCTTAATTTGGGAAGTTCCTGGAGTTTTTGAACTTATATGGAGTCCTTTTACCTTTTTAGTAGGTTAGTACCCTTTCTGGAGTCAACATTTTTTTGGGAATTCATTAACATCATATATTGGACATTGAAGATTTTAATTATGTGTTATTGATACAGGATATAAAGATGCAGATCCTGCTAAAGCAAACCTACCTCTCTTGCATGAATGGCACTTTAGATCTGGCCTTGACCGTTATATTTGGATTGTCGGAATGATATACGCATATTATCACCCAACTGTAAGTTTCGTGAATTTATTGAATCTTAAGAAAGTACCTGTCTTTTTTGGGATTACATTGACTTGAGTCCCTTTATGCAATAGGTCGAAAGATGGATGGAAAAACTAGAAGAGTCTGAAACCAAAAGGAGACTATCAATCAAAACGAGCATTGTTACAGTTGCTTTGGTGGTGAGTCACCCGAGTACTTCATTTGACCTAACATATTTTCTACTGGTTATCTTTCTTCACAAAATGACATTCTGCATAATTCTTGCAGGCTGGTTATTTGTGGTATGAATTCATCTACAAGCTAGACAAAATTACGTACAATAAGTATCATCCTTACACATCATGGATCCCCATCACGTATGTATTGACAATTGACTAAAGCTATACTCAGTATCAAACTCATTACAACCTGACAAGTTTTATGGTGCTTTGAATGTTTTCAGTGTTTACATTTGCCTGCGTAATTTCACCCAACATATCCGCAATTTCTCATTGACTCTTTTTGCGTAAGTTACATTTCTTTAGTTTCTACAAATCCCTCTTGTTCACATTGTGGGTCTATGACATTTGCTTCCCATCATCATTCTTAATGACATCACCTTTTCTTTGTTCATAGGTGGCTTGGCAAAGTCACCCTGGAGACATACATCTCCCAAATCCACATCTGGTTGAGGTTTGTATGCCTAAGTAGTTCTTTTTTTCCCCCTTTTGCAATATTTACGAATGTCCTTAGAAACAATAATTGAGAATTAAGACTTATCTTAAATATGAGGTTGCACGAGTCACTTGATTCAGTTATGGGTATATAGCGCAGTTGGGATAAGGATTCAGGAGAAACGGGTTAAAAAATTAACAGACATTAGTGTCTATTTTTGAGACAAATCTGTCTTTTAAAGCCTCAGCTAAAAGTTACAAATACTGTTTAAAAATTGCAAGAGCCTGCTTAGAAACTCTTAAATTCCCTCCACTACCCTAGAACTCTAAATCTGTAATAATTGTTGTAATCTTTAGCGCTAAGATGACCCTGCACTCAAATTGTCCTTTTCATAGGCCAAAACCTGTGCTATTTTATGCAGTACTTTTTTCAAAAAAAATAAAATAAGATAAAATTCCAATTTTAAATGAGTTATGTTACGTTAAAGTTGTTTGAGCCATTTTATGTCAATGTTATAAGTGAGAAATTGAACTCAACTAAACCAACTCATGAGCTGCTTGTTGAAAAGAATTATTTGAAACAGCAAAATGTAAATTCCTTTGCTTGCAATTGGTAAATAATGATCTCTCATGTCTCTATTCTGGGGACTTTACAGGTCAGACTTGCCTAATGGTCAACCCAAGTGGCTTCTCTCTTTCATTCCAGATTACCCTTTGCTCAATTTCTTGCTCACAACTGCAATTTATCTCTTTGTAAGTATTTCTTGCTTTTTAGAAGGAAATATATTTCACTTCTTTAATGCAAAATCCCTAAAACACAAGAATATTTCGCTTACGTCTGACCCCCTTTTCAGATATCATATCGGGTGTTCAACCTGACAAATTCACTTAAGATTGCTTTTGTTCCTAGTAAAGACAACAAGAGGCTGCTGCATAATTTTATTGCTGGAGCAGCAATTTCTGTGTGCTTGTACTGCGTTTCATTAATTCTAGTTTCCGTCCCTCGGTTATTGGTATGTTATGTTCTCCATTTCTAGATGTTTATATCTTTATGAGCAGAATTGATCTTTTTGCTTAACAAAATGTCACTTTTATTCCACAGGCATGATGATGTGCAACGTGAATGTTTTCAGTTTTAATATCCTCAGAGGTGAATGGAACGTTCAGTTTCTGAGATGCTAGTCCTGGCATTTTTTCGAAATCGAAAGAAAAATAGATTTGTTTTTCGGCCCATAACTTCAATTTGTTTTGCCAAAGAATGGAAAGAGAGAGGGGTAAGGCCTGCTTGGTATAGGTTTGTAATAGTTGAGATAGGATGGAAGCTCTGTATATTTCCTTTTCTCCCCAAGTGTTTTTCAGTTTCATTAGCTGGTGATGTATTGTTTGATTACTGGGATGTTTACTGAATCTTTCTTCAAATGAAGCGATTACTGTAAAAACATAAAATGTTCATTGTCTTGATGTTACATTTGTCTTTATTCGTAACATAGATTTTATGATGAATGATTATTCTTCAATGTTTGTTAATTTTACGTGAAACAGTGTAAATAATGATCCCTCTTATTAGAACATCCGAAGCGATAGGATATCGATATTTTCTAAATGGGTGTTGCTATAGGGATCCCAAATAGGAGATCCGGGGGGACAAGTGAGGTGTCCCTCCTGAATGTATGATGCACTGTTCCTTGATCCCCTATTTGGGGTCTCTGAGGCATTTTTGTTTCTAAATTGAGCTGACACACTGTAGTTTTACAAGAGAACATGTTTGCACTTCCTAGCATTAAAAACTAGCTAAGGTTTTAATACATCGGTATTACTAATTTCACGAAACCCCACCTGAACTTTGGGGCGTTCCATATAACCATCCTAAAACTTTATTCATCTCACGTAACCCCCTGAGCTACGAGGTGTCTAAGCTAACTCTCATACTTGAACTTTAGCTTGTCCTACCTAACTCCCATGACAGTAATTTGCAAATAAATAAAATGTCATTTAGTGAAAATTTCTCAAACTTATTACTCATCATTTACAGGCAACATGTTCCCTCCTCTAAAGTTTGAGTTTTTTCCTCCATGAAAAGTTCAGTTATTTGTAAATTGCAGGCGGGCGGGGGTTACGTGGGACGAACAAAGTTTAGAGGGGCTACGTGCAAGGTCCCCCAAAGTTCGGAGGGGTCTCCTGAAATGAGCAATTAAAAAGTACAATGGTATTGATTTCAGTTCGACTGGCAGTTTCCACCACGCTCCAGTCAAAAGGTACGTTGAACCTGGACCTTTCGCTCTCCCAAAGGGCTACCCCACCGCCCGTAAGCAAGTTGGGACTCAGATCTCCGCCCTTTCAATCGCATCAAATTCCAACATCACCATCATCAGCACTCGAGCTGAGCACGAGCAGCAAGCAGCGAGCTTTTTATATATAGATTCCCTCAAAATTTAACAGAAACAGACTGGGGGGAAGAAAAAGGTTCAACCTTTTCTCAGTTTCAGCTCTACTCCATGGCCGCCGCCGCCTCCTCCTCCTCCGCCTCGATCTCTTCGACCCATCAAACTTACAAAAAAACCCACCTTTCCTCCAAATTCACCTCCAAGTCCCTCCCTTCCCCTCCCCCTCCTCCGCGGCGCACGCTAACCTTGTCCTGCTCCTCCTCCCCCTTCACCGATACAGTGGTCGTTTCGACACGAGTCGTGGCGTACAAAATCAATGTCCCGCCCTCTCGATTGCCCTCCAGCTCCCGAGCTCAGGAACTCCTCCTGAAGCCTCAGATCTTCTGAAAGCTCGGCGGCGCTGGCGGCGGCGGGCCCGGGAGCGTTTGCTTGGCTGGGGGACCGCCCCGGCGACCCGGAAGCTGCTGACCGTCAAGGCGGCTGCATGGGCATCGATGAGGGCGGACTTGATTTTGCTACGACCGGCCTTCGTGTCAACGATGTGCTGGAGTTGGTGAGGGGCGACGCGAGGCTGCTCTATGTGGGGAAGACCGCCGGGTATCATAGCAGGACTCAGGTGTGGTGTTTGATTGTTTGCCTCAGTGAGTTGTTTTTGATCTTTTCGATGTACAAGATGACATCTTTTTTGTTGTTGCAGGAGGAGATTCATGAGTTGCTTTTGAGTTTCGCGGAGGTCGGTGCGAATGTGGTTAGGCTTAAAGGAGGAGATCCTTTGGTGGGTTTTTTTTTAATTATCTATTTTAAAGTCTTCTCTTTCTTTCTTTCTTTCTTTTTTTTATTTGAGAAATTTTGCATAAACATTGAAACTTTACTTCGAATTTTATGAATTTTAGGTGTGCAGTGTTGTGATATAATTGAGAGAAGTTATATGTGTACATGATTAATGATAGGTTCACATTATTTTGTGGTGGAATGTGACAAGCAAGAAAGAATATAGAGAATCTAGAGATCTGTTTGAATTGATAATTCTCATTTATTGCAATTGATATTATAAAGATCGCAAGTGAATATAGATGTATGTTTTTTTTTTTTGGTGTGTGTGTGTGTGTATACATATACTTACATATACATATGTACATATATGTGTATATATATGTGTGTGTGTGCGCGTTTGTGCGTGTGTGTGTGTGTGTGTGTGTGTTGACATGGACATGGCTTCGAAGTCAAAAAGCCAAATATGTTAAATCTATGTTTTTCAACAACAAAGTCAATCAATTTATCTAGACATTGAATGTGAAGATAAGCAGATTATTGATGGCATACAGTTGTACACACACATTTCTATGCATATTATGATACATTGGTGCATGTATCACTTTTCTAAGGTAAGATGTGCAAATATTTTTTTATAATAATAGGCACTTGACATATGTAGAAGGAATAGAAAGATGCAAAGATTAAATCTGATGAAAGACTCTTAATTTAGGTTTAACTGCTATATTAGTTGCTTTGAATACCTTGTAACATGTGCTGAGTATCCACGGCTTATTAGGGCTGGTGTTGTATTGTTTCAGGTTTCTTCTTTGATGCCTTGTTTGGTTTTTTAATGTAAGAATTTTAATGATTAAAGGTTTATTTGTTTCCTTTCAATTACATATGTATTTATCATTGTCAAGTATTCCCTTAGCTTACTGATTGTGGACTCAACATGACTTCCTATTATTTTCCTATGGTATACATGCTCGTTGTCGATGTCTATACTTAAAAGATAGAAAGGCACAGCAAAATGTAAAAATTCATTGGACATACACTAAACGTCAGCTTATGCTATAATGAGGGTCGGAAACTAGTTTGTATCTGCTGTCAACTTTACTTTGTCATTTCAGAGGTCAGCTATGCTTATATTGCAACCTAAGCTCACCAATAAAAGTTACATATAGTTGGAGCTATTTTGTGTCTCCAACTTCATCAAACAAACAGGCCGATTTTATTCCTCAACTTTGAAATCTTTTTGCCTTGTTCCTTGATCAATAATTCTACTTCGGCCTTTCAGTTAATATTTTGAGATATTCTTGTGGGGTTAGGTATTTGGTAGAGGTGGGGAAGAGATGGATTTCCTGCAGCAGCAAGGAATTGAAGTCAAGGTTATTCCAGGTATTGCATTCTCACCTTAGTTAATATTGCCTCTATTCACTGTATATTACTGAATACCCTCTGATTTGGTTTGTATTTGGCAGGGATTACTTCAGCTTCTGGAATAGCAGCAGAGCTTGGAATCCCACTGACTCATCGAGGTGTTGCAAATAGGTACCACTGATATCCTTGTATATTACCTCAATATGGAATTAGTTACTACTTACCGCTTACTAGTTCTTCGCTCTTTTTTTAGTCCAACTAACCGTGCTTTTTTTTTTCTAAAAGCTGCATGACAACTATAACCGAGGACCAAAACATGAGCGTAAACCATGTCTTCAAGTTAGCCTAAATTGCCGATGTTGATGCTCCATTATTCTTTGTTTGGACAAAAAATAATTAGGAACTAATTTTCTTGCCTCTATTTTTGTCGCAGTTGACTGCTAATTACCTAACAAGCTATATATGACAACTATAACTACAGGTCAGATATGAACATAGACCATGTCTCCAAGTTCATAGACCATGTCTCCAAGTTCTTGAAGGATAACATGATGAGATATTTATAGTACCTAAGGGGAATATTATCCAAAAACATGTAATGTGATTACAACTTACCCTAGCTATCTGCAAGTATGGCAGCTTACTAGAAAAAGTTAATGGTGATTTTCTCTAATTAAAAAAAATTATGGTAGCCTTGTGCAAATACATTAACATTCGTGGTAGCTTTATGAAATTTACCCTTATTTATATTTAGATGTAAAACAGTTAGACCCATATGACTGTACCTTCTAAAAATAAGCTTCATATTGCCATGTTTCTCTAACAGAAGATTCAACTTTTTTGGAAACCTTAAAAGTCTTAAATATATAAAAACATTTGTATTGTATCCTCTGACATATGTACAATAATGCAGTGTGAGATTTCTGACCGGGCACTCCCGAAATGGAGGAAAAGATCCCCTTTATGTAGCAGAGCATGCTGCTGATCCTGACTCAACTCTTGTTGTCTACATGGGCTTATCAACCCTTCCAGCTCTTGTACCCAAACTAATGACTCATGGTTTGCCACCTGAGCAGGCTATATTTGCATCATCCAAGAGATTTGCATTATCCAACAGAGTCTATTCAGCAGTACCGCATGATCAGTGTTCGAACGGAGCTTTATTCTTGATTTCCTTTTCAGCTCGGATCTAATCTGACTTAGAAAATTCGCTCATCTTTCATACCTCCATTGGTAGGCTTCAGCTTGTAGCACATTCTTTAGATATTCCGTTGTCAGTATCTACTCCTCTAGGAGAGGTGTCCACTCTATCTACCGGAAATATGTCATCAGACTAGACAAGTCAGAGTTTGTTGTCGATTTGATAGCGTTGAATATGTCCGGATTCGTTGTTATCATTGGTATGGTTTGGTTATCCTCCTACCAGGCTAGTATTGACTGCTTTGCGAAGACAGTCAATTTGTGAGCGTCCGATGGGTCCGAAATGATTGTAGCAACCTCTCAGGGCAACCGTTTTGCGGAGTCATTTCTAGCGTATATCGAGGAGGTGCTGTGACGGGATCTGAGTATTGATTTATTAGAGACTAGAGTTATCTCAGAGTATGGTTTGCCACCTGCAACTCCAGCCGTTGCAGTGGAGCGAGGGACTACTACTCAACAAAGAACAGTGAGTAAAATCCAAACTCCATTTTTTGGGATTAATTACATCCCCGTATCTTGTGGTATGGTGTAATTACACAAATGACCCAAGGGTACCTGTATCTAGACAGGTAACCCTGAGATTACCGGCTGAGATGACACGGGTAACCCCTATGAAATTAACCTTAGGGTTACTCAGGGCTACATGTAGTCTCTGTCAGAATCTCAGGGTTATCCGTGTTAAGACATAGACCCCTGGATCACCCATATAATTATATCATACCACAGGGTACCAGGATGTAATAATCCTTTTTAACTACTAGATATTCTTCTCAGTTGCAAACTTTAAATGAATAATATATTTTTTTTTGTAACAGGTGTTTGCAGAGATGAGGGATTTGGTGAATGAGGTTAACTTAGCCAATCTGGTATCTCCAACTCTGATAATTATTGGCAAGGTAGTAGCCCTGTCACCTCTTTGGCCTCACTCAGAAGAAGAAACACTAATTTTGCAATCCGAACAACAACGTGACGCAATTACAATCAGATAACAGTTCTTGTTTCCTGCCAGTTTTCAAATTTCTTTCCCTCTCAAGAGATAGAAAAGGTAGATGTTTATCCAAAAAAAAAAAACAGATCCAAGTGAGCTCTACCATTATGTCTTGGTCGAGCCATTATCGGCTATTTGTGCTCTTTCCTCTTGTATGAGCATGTTTGTATGAGCTCAAACTGGATAATCTTGTATTTCTCCATTCTTTTTATTGTCTTGAAATGAGTTTTGTATTGTGCCTGGGCTTAGGATTTTTATTTAAATTATGTCTCGAGCATGATGGAGATGATACACTGATACAATAACAAGCCATGGGAAAGGTAATGTAAATGAGCTATCATATCTTCGCTGGTGATTCTCTGAATGTTTGCATCTTCCTGTAAGAACTTGTTGCCATCTTTTTCAGATCAGGTTGCTCAAGGACAAGTACTTTCGAATGAATGCATGAACTAAATTCAAATATGAACATCTTCGATTCGATTCATTTCTCCCAAATTCAAATATGAACATCTTCGATGCAATTCATCTCTCCTCTTCCTAAATGTGTGCTCTAGTATAATGCATGTCAGTATTATTCCTTGTCAATATGAGTATTGATGAAGCGTTGATGTTCTTGTTTAATCACTTTTTTAGAGATAAAGGGCATACATGAACTTCGGAAGAAGTACTGGTAATTATTTTTCCATCTCAGTCCTTCATGGAAATGTAATTGAAATTCTAATGTACAATCAGGAGGAGGGCATCAAAAAATGGTTTTACACATCCATATCCTACATTAAATCAAGGAAAACAAAATCCTTGCTGTATATTTACGATTTACAATCTCCCAAAAAGGGCAAAAAATAATTTAGCTTGAAATTTGGGATCAAACAAATATAAAAGCTCTAAAAATCAACTGAAGAGCTCTTTGAACAACTACCAGCGGTCCCATAAGATGTTCCACTTGAACCATCAACTGGAGCTTGATTTAGTCGTTCTATGACCAGAGATCTACGTCGATGCAGCTTTAATGAGAATGTAGTTGCTTCGAGGATGACAGGCACCTGAATGTCACCAATGAATGCTAACTTAGAGAAAATTCATGATGCAGAACATTTTGTCAATTGAAAGAATCATAATTCCATGAGGACATCTACATTTAATAAGTTCATTTTCATGTTTTTCTTAAGTAAATGCCAACATTATGGTCACTGTCCGGTGATACTTCACCTTATTCAACGCATCCAAATAGATTTATCATGTTCACTTCAATGATACTTCACCATATTCAACATGGAAAATGCTAACCGTTATCATTACTCAGTATGAAAAATGCCAACGGTACTACAATTCCTATACTACTTTTGAACTACCACTAACAAATGTGTGGGATCCTTACTTGAAAATTGTAATAAGAAAATGATGAGTCAGCATGACTCCACTCTTTTATTTGTGATAGTACCAAAGTGGTATGAGAGTTGCAGTACTGTTATCATTACTCATTCAACATATCCATTTATGTAGCTTTCAGGAATGACATGTTTTGAACAATTTTGCACTTGCATACTTTCTTTTCGAGTGTTTTTGAGTTATGGTTGATAGATAGTAATAAGGGCAGTTTCAACATTTTTCCCTTCACCTTCACGCTAAGGATGTTTATGAAAATTTCCACTTGTTCATGATAGTGTTCTTTAATTTGGAAGTTCATGGCAGTTTTATCCAATCACAAAAGTTTACGAAGGGCCAGTGCAAAGCACCCCAATGGTTGGGGGAGGTTTTGTGGAATTTACCCTTTTGAATGCATATACTTATTATAATCAAAATCCCAAGCATTATACGTTCCACTGACTTGGCAAAAAGATGGCACCCTAGAGTAATGTTATGTGATTTGAAAGTTCAGTAATTTTATCTAATCGAGAAAGTTTGGGTTTTGTGCAGGCCACCCCAAAATTTCAGGGAGGTTTTAAAAAATTTACCCTTTTAGACGCAATACCTGAAGCTAAAATCCAGATAGCATTACAATGTTTCCATTGACTTAGCAATAAGATGGTATCGTTTACATGATATACAATTTGGTTACCTAAATGATGTCATGGCAAAAAAAGATTGAATGTCAGGATAAAGATCAACAAGGCAATAATTTACCTGGCTATTAATCTGAGCTACCTTATGGACATGCAAAAGACCAACCATGTCCTGGTAACCAGTAAGTAATTTCGCCAAATCCTTGTCCTCATCTGTTAGAAAAAAAATTAAAAGAAACTGAGAAGACAAAACTGAAAAAGGGGGTTTGGGGAGAGAGGGGGGG